TGCCTGAAGGTAGGGGAATGGTTATCAGCTGCTTTATTGAGAGCAGTGGCCTCAGCATTGGCACTCCTGCAGGTGCACCCTGATACTTTGAATCACAGGCAGTATTTACCAGGTTCCCACTGTGCTGTAGCATCGGTTAGATGCTGTAGGTAAGGTGACCATATAATTTATCACCAGGGTCACTTTGAGAAGAAGAGGGAGCTCTTAGTAATTATACCGGATCATAAACTCAGCCTGTCCCCGGTAAACCAAATGGAGGATTAGCTTAGCTATGGGACATGCAGGAATGCTGTTCATATCCTTGGTCCGCATTCTAGAAGTTACTTACAACCCTGCTAAAGGGCTAGTACTTATACACTAAACCAGTGGTTCCTGACCTTTTTGGCACCAGAGACCAGTTTTTTGGAAGACACTTTTTCATGGACCAGGGAGAGGGACAGTGTTTCAGGATGAAAGTGTTCTAGGTCGGATAATCAGGCATTGGTTAGATTCTGTTAAGGAGCACGCAACCCAGATCCCTTGTGTGTGCAGTTCGCAGTAGGGTTCAGACTCCCATGAGAATTGAATGCCGCCGCTGACTGACAGGAAGCGGACCTCGGGCGGTCATGCTCACTCACTTGCCCGCCGTTCACTGCTGCTCTGCGGCCCAGTTCCTAACATGCCAGGCACCTGCTGCTCACCTCCTGCTGTGCGGCCCGGTTCCTAACACACCAGGGACCCGTACTGGCCCATGGCCAAGGGCCTGGGGACCCTGCCCTAAACAATTCGAGAACATCATGTTTAAAGAAATGCTCTCTGTAATTAACCCGTTACCCCCAAATAAATTTCCCTTCTGCCATATCATTCCCAAACAGATGTGTGTAAGCATTTCTCATCTTTAAAAATTGCTCCCTCTACCCCACCTATTGCCCCATTTTTCTTCTCTTATAGAAAACATTTCCTGAAAACAGAGTCTATACCAAGGTCAGCAAGCTTTCCATTAGGGGCTGGATAATAAATATTTTAGCCTTTACTGACTGTATGGTCTCTGTTGCAACTATTTCTCAGCCATTGTGTGGCAAAAGTCACCATAAACAATATTTAAACAAATGGATTTGGCTGTGTTCCAAAAACACGTTATTTACAAAAACAGGTGGCAGACCGGCTTCAGCCCACAGGCCATCATTTGCTGGCGCCTGCTCCGTTACCATGGCCTCTCCTTCGTCACGTCATCACTGTTAGTTCCCGTGACTCCACTGAGACTGCTTTTGTCAAGATCACCAACAACTTGCCTGTTGTCAAAATTGTAGCAGTTCTCTGTCTTCGTCTTATATGGGTTTTTATTTTTTTGAGATGGAGCCTTACTGTGTTGCCTAGGCTGGAGTGCAGTGGTGTGATTTTGGCTCACTGCAACCTCCGCCTCCCAGGTATAAGCTTTTCTCCTGCCTCAGCCTTCTGATTAGCTCAGATTATAGGTGCACACCACCACGCCCAGCTAATTTTTGTATTTTTAGTAGAAACGGGGTTTCACCATATTGGCCAGGCTGGTCTCAAACTCCTGACCTTGCCATCTGCTTACTTTGGCCTCCCAAAGTGCTGGGATTACAGGCGTGAGCTGCCATGCCCGGCCTTATATGAGTTTTTAACAACAGAAGACAATCATTCTTTTCCTCCTCCTCCTCCAAACACTTTTGTTTGGCTTCTGTAACAGCCATAGTCCCTGATTTTTGCTCATGTCACTGATGGTTTTTCTCTGCATCCCTGCTTCTCTTTTTCATTTTAGCCTTTTGAATATTGGCGTGCCCAAGGGTTAGCTTCATGCTGTCTTCTCTTCTCTGTCTATTCTCTCTTCCTATATGACTTCTTCTAATCTTACAGACTGAAATATCATCTCTAAAGTAATGACTTCTAAATTTAAACTCCAACCTATCACCTCTCTTCCAAGCTCCAGACTCTTATGTCCAATTTAATATCTCTACTTGATCTCAAGTAAGGTATCTTTTTTTGTGAGGGTGACAGAGTTTTGCTCTTGTTGTCCAGGCTGGAGTACAATGGTGCTATCTCAGCTCAGTGCAGCTCCTGCCTCCCAGGTTCAAGCAATTCTCCTGCCTCAGCATCCCAAGTAGCTGGGATTACAGGTGCATGCCATCACACCCAGCTAATTTTTGTATTTTTAGTAGAGAAGGAGTTTCACCATTTTGGCTAGGTTGGTCTCGAACTCCTGACTTCAGTTGATCCACCCACCTCGGCCTCCCAAAGTGCTGGGATTACAGGCGTGAGCCCCCAGCCCAGCCTACTGTCTGTTTCTACCAACACTCTGGTCCCAACCACTAAGTAATTTCTAAGAAGTTCCAGACTTTCTCTCCATTTCTTCTTCTGAGCCCTTAGCAGAATCACCCTTAGCACTCTGTTTACAGCAGTACAGACTTTTCCACCGTTCACTTCAGAACTGTTCCAGCATCTATTCATTACCCAGTTCCAAAGCCACGTTTTCAGGTATGTATTATAGCAGTAGCCCACTTCTTGATACCAGTTTTCCTAGTCTGTGTTAGGTCACCATCACAGAATAGTACACACTGAATCATTTATAAAGAAAGTATTTGTTTCTTAGAATTCTGGAGGCTGGGAAGTCCAAGGTCAAGGGCCCCGCATCTCGCAAGGGCCTTCTTACTGTAGCATCCCATGGCAGAGATGGAGGGGCAAGAAGGTGTGCACACGCTTGAGAAAGTGGCTGAACAGGCCCTTCTGTCAAGAACCCACTCCTGAGATGATGCCATTCACTCACTCACCAGGACAAACCCCTGTAACCCAATCACCTCGTGATGGCCCCCAGTCAACGCTGATGCATTGGGGATTAAGTTTTCAACACATGAAGTTTGGGGACACTTTCCAGCCCTAGCACAGGCCACGCACCCTTATCGCATTGCAGACGGA